TATTTTTCATTAATTATTCTATAAAATTTTCAATATTTATTAGAATATTTTATATTATTCTATAAAATTTTCAATATTTATTAGAATATTTTATATTATTTTATAAAATTTTCAATATTTATCAGAATATTTTATATTATTCTGTAAAATTTTTATTAGAATATTTTATATTATTTTATACAATTTGTATTGTTTATAATATTGATTTGATACCAATTCTTTTGTTTCCTTCTTTTCCTTTTTGTTCTTTCTTTTCGTTCTTGCATCTCCTTCTTGCGTGACTGCTACCATATTATTACTCTCTGCCATTACAAAAAATGGTTCATCCCGTTTTGAGACAAAGTTATTATTATTATAAGATACTTCGAGCTATGAATCATCCGTGTAAACAATTATTTGCTAGACGACGTTTAGTACCATTTGTTGAACAGTATTCGATGCCTGTTCAGCTTTCGAAACTTACACCATCAACAAATTACTTATTAAGGAAGCTTTCAATTAACTATTCAGGAGCTTCGTGACTAGGTCGATCCCTGATATAATCGCTATGGCCGTCAGGTCGAAGCCGAGTCCTCGGGTCAAGGAGTCGGAGGGTTTCTTCTGGGAACAATAATCACTCTGGATCCACCGCCTCGCGGCTGGACCACCTGTCCGTCTCGTACCAATTAACTATATCCAAGAGATGCGATCTGAACGTCGAGCTGCGAGGAGAGTGTCGTCGGAGGATCCAGCAGCTTTTCGGCCCACGCTCGCGAATGTTCGCCTTCGGAGAGGGAACACCGAGAGTCGTTTCCAATTCGTATATATCTGTTTTAGGCTGTTCAATGTTCGATTATACATATATACATATTGTCTGTGTAGTAGCGTCTCTCGCTGGAAGAGGAGGGAGCTTCGAGTTTCTGGATTTCCGAGATTTATTGGTAGAGAGAGAGCCTGGGTAACGAGAATCTCGATCAGGAATCTCTTGCGTCTCTTGGCTGAATCAGACATTTAACGGTGATTGTAGTTTTCGTCTGTTGTTCCCCATTGCGCGACTGCTAGACCGTGGATCCGCGTGCTAAAACCGAATTTTCTTTATTCGTCGAAATCAGCAGGATTTCTTTAGCTTGACGTCGCTGCTTCACGTTGCATTTATTGCATGAAATCTGTAGTCTAGTAGTCTCAACGTGATGGAAGGAAAGGTCTAGATTATAGGCGTAGCCTTGGCACTTTGGCTGTCATTATGGACGACGCTATCTGTCAACTAATTTTTATTCGAACGCGTTGGACAATGCTTTGGCGAATTGCTGAATTGTTCTGATCCCCGATCGTCAACAAATGTTTCACAACTTTTCGAAGGTTTTACGGATCTGGTTTTGACAGTCAACGTGTCAATGAAGATTCCAGCTAGGTCGACATTTTAGAAAATCAAATTAGAGGAGTAAGATTTACTGTTTATGTCGAGCTGAAAAGAAACGTTCGATCCTCTTTTGAACCATGTAAACGTAATCGACAAGCTGAGTCGATCGAAATTGCTTGCAACAAGAGCATCGAATTTTCTATTCAGCCCAACATCCATATTCTCTAAATTAGATTCAGTCGTTCCTCGTCTTTATAATCGCACTATACGACAAAGTGAACGTCCGGCTCGTTCAGCTATCGGCGTCAAGATGGTCGCCGATCGTTCGATATCGATCAACAAAACCCATTTGAATTTATTTCACGTCCGTCTTCGCCAGAAGTCATTAAATAGACTGCAGATTTTTATGTAAAAACGAAGAGACGTTCGCTTCGACAAATATTACTAATTTTCTTTCGTCCGAGAGCATCCCCTTTCCCCTTCGTACAAGATCATCGACGAGAACGGTGCGAAATTTACATAAACATCTGCAGTTCGTTCGTTGAAAGATATAAAAACACATTCTATATTCGTTACCGAAAAGAATATCCGATGTCCGTGTGAAATCAAATTTATTGAATTCGATGTTAAACGAGTCTAACTCGCGGGAGTAGGGACTGATCGATTGCGTTTCGGGTCTGCAACAATTTCCGGACGGGTTTACGGTTCAGTTCCACTCGGAGTACTTTTTATACGAACGAATTGTCCATCGTCCAGAGATCCTGAAATCCGGCGTTTCAAGGAACACGCCGCGGTCTACTTGAAGCGGTTACGCAGAAACGATCTTCCGACAGTAACATATCCACGCGTCTCGGGTTCCCCGCGTCACGCACAAATCTATTAACGATAACGAGGATTTTTTTACAAAATTCGAGCAAGTATATCAAAGTAGCGGCCGGGGTCCAGGACCTTGCCGGTAGCATCGAAAGTCCTAGCGGACGAGTCCCGATGAACGTTCGGGGGCGTGGATCGCAGCCGATCCGAGAATATTCGATCCGGAACGACGGACTACCGATTGATTATTAATTGTTTCTTCTCTGATCACGATCAATCATCGCGATCGTTCGAATCATCACGGAGACTCTGAGGGGTCTCGGCGATTCGGTGACTCGGAGACAGCTGTTGAGATCGAGAGAAATTGTGTACCGTGTCGGCGGACTCGTTGGACTGGGGATTTTTATGCAATTAATAATTGTTCGATTGATTTACGAGTATCAGCATAGAATTCGATTGCACTTCACACGTTAAGGTATCCTTGTTTTCGTAGGATGAAATTCTAGTCGATTATTTGACGAACGTGGAGCTCGTATAAATATATTTTACTCCTTATTGTAGGGTTTGTCGTTAGGTGTCCGATCGTTTTATAGCAAATTTGTTATTTTATCGCATCTCGTATGCTCAAGTATTTTTACATTTGTACCCTTAGCTTTACGGAGGAATTTTACGGACGTTTTTATTAGATTTAGTAAACTAATGTAATACTAGTATTGACTTAAGAAGTTATTATTCTCTTCGTAAATATCGCTTTTGCAAAAGGAACATTTCTTTCGATTACAATTCACGTAAACTGCTTTAAACGATAATGTTGCATAAAAATTCGTGATCTAATAATAATAATAATAATAATAATAATAAAAAATGAACCAATTATTCTGCACATTTCCATATCAACGTAATATTTTGTACAAATCTCTCTTGTGAAAGTATTAAACCAGAAACAGTATTAATTCTCGTGAACGTGTACGATTCGTCGTACGTTTTTTATTTTGTAAATGTCACAAAATGCGTGAAGCACGGCCTGGTTGTAATGAAAATAAACTGCAACCGTTTCCGCAAAGGTTCGTGGTTTCGAAAATTCTTTTACACAACCAGGAGAATTTGTACGGTTCTCGGCGGAGGCAAAAATAAAACCAAAATCGAGCCAGGCTCTGTCGAAACGACAGAAAAATTCAATTTTCATTTCTCCCAGCTTTTCTTCAATCGTCTCGCTACGAGTATACGAAGAACGTATAAAAATCCGCAGTCCAGAAACGCAACCGGGAAGGCTCCAAAGCGAATGGTTCCTCGTCGCCGGCCGAATCGATCGCGATTCGTCGATCCGACGGCGAGGTTCGGCCCCCGGTCGCATTCGCGAGCCTTCCCGGACGAGTTCTCAGCACTTAGGCGTGCTCGCATCGCGAAGGAATAGGATCGTTCCCCCAGGGATGGCGCGCTCACGAAGCGTAGAAAGGGGTCGATCGGGGGTGAATCGCGATTGAAAGCCGACAATGATCGCGCGAATGCGAAAGGATCTAGCCGCGCTGCATTCTGCAAGTTTCAACCTGCAATCCAGCTACGAACTCTCCATTTCTCTCTTCCTCTCTCCCCCAGCCCCGCAAGGAGAGGGAGAGACGAAGAGAGAGACGTTCTCTCGGTTTCCGTGAACGATGAACGGGGACGCGGAGTGCGAGACGAAAATTAGTATGCGTGAGTGGAAGAGAGAATTAAATAAATAAAACAGAAAAGAGAAAGAGAGAGAGTGCATAATTAACGGAGAAAATACTACAAAAAAAATAAATAAAAGACGAAAAGACACGTGTAGATACTCTAGGTACGTAGCGATCAGAGTTCGGAATTTACGCATAAAAGCATCAAGAAGAACGTCAGACAAATGAATACATATTATATATACATATATAAAAATATATAATATATATATACATACATATATATATATTAAAAAAAAGGAAAAAAGATATATAGTCGAAGTGAATTTAATCAACCTTATTCTGTACG